CTCCGGCGGTGGTGCCGAAACCGGGTTAAAACGGGCCGGTTGGGGGGGGGGGGGCGCCTGCCGATGAGGCAGACAATTTGTCAGCCTCAGTGCATAGTCAAAGCTTTCTTGACCTTTTTAGAAAACAAGTTTTTAGTTTTTAGCAGGATTTAAAATGCGATACAGCATGATTTTCCTTCACCTTTTGGTAACAGGTACAAAGTGGGCTTAGGAGTCACTGTGGTTTTTGACAGATCGCAGTGTGGAGGGATTTTACCGAGCTGTTGGCTCGGGCTGGGTTTGGTGCCCTCGGAATCCTTTGGAGCCGCTGGCCGCTTGAGTGAACGTGCACTGCTGAAGTAAAATTCTGAACGCAGCTCACGTAAAACCCGCAGTGTCTCTTGAGCGTTTTTTGGTAAGTGGAGAATGCTTATTTAACTGTCACCTTGTAAAGCGTTGTGTGTGGTGTGTGTTGCAGGGATGTTTGTATTTATGACGTTCGATACCTGAAGCCTAAGGGGAACCAGCCTGTGAGCAATCTTAAAGGCCACACGAGAAGTGTTGCTTCTGCCTATTTCTCACCTGGAACTGGCAACAGAGTCGTGACGGTGTGTGCTGATGATAAGCTGAGGTAAGACCACACAGGGAGGAATAGTCTTTATGGAAAATGGTATTTTTATTATTATTTTGTATTATTATTTCCTATCTGCATTGTCCATCATTGAGAGCTTTCTGTCATTATCACTTTTTAAAATTAGATTTACTTGCACCGGCATTTGTAGTGTTGCATGATTTTTTGGGGTTTCCTGAAGAATATTTAATAGTGAACAGTGAAATACACAGGTGCTGTTAGTCTTTAAGAACAACCAACCAACCAACCAACCCAAAAGCTGGCTCCTGAATACAAATACAAAATGCTTAGAAACTGAATTTATTTTTAACTGCTGGTACTTAAAAGTGTGATAATATCAGCTCTTTTGTAACTAGGCTACCATTTGATAATTTAAACTGCTCTGAGTTGTGTTGTAGCAGAGGTCTAGTTTTTCTTTCTACTTTGTAGTTTTGTGACCATAATGTAGGTAGTCTGTTTGTGGAAATACCTGAATGCATCTGCATATTTGCCCTGTACATGTTCAGAAGTCCTAAATTGTACCACAGAATAGCAGGTACAAAACGGGGGGCCCAGTTAAAGCCAGGTTGAGATCAGGCCTCGACTCTGCAGATTGCCCGTGTTTTTAAAAGACGGGGTAACTACGTATATTCTGGCAAGAACCTGAACAGTTGTAGCATTATACGTTTTGTCTGGAAATCCGATTTTCTTTCTTCCCTTTCCACATACACAGGAAGGCGTTCTTTTGTGGGGGTTCTGCGTTGCTGTAATGCTTTCTTTCCTGTAACGTATTTACTAGAGATAATTGAAGATTTGTCCTCTGTAGTAGGCTTGGTTATGAAAATTGTAAATCCTTGGCGCTAACAAAATGGATATGAGCAAACCAGAATATTTGTGCTCGACAGAATGGAGAAAAGGGATATAGGATCGTTTATTCACTGCCTCCTCCAAAGAAAAAAGAAAGCAGCTTTTTAACTCAGCAGCGCGTTGAACCCTAGGGGCTTTGGGATCCTAAAGGTTTATGGGGGGTGAAGGAGAGCCCAGCACGGGCGATCTGCTGGTGGTTTCTCTGTCAGTCGAGCTCACGCCTGCCCGAGGAAGTCCTGGCGCTGGAAGCTGTCAGTGGCAGGGTTTCACTCGCGGGTTTCCATTCTCTTGCGCTTCCCCGGGCAGCCTTCTGCGCAGCGGCGGGTGGGCAGGGGACGGGGCTGGGGAGCCTTTCCTTTCTCCTAGCCAGCCGCTCGGCGCTCTTCCTACAACAGCTTTCAGAAAGGATGGCCTTCAGTTCCAGCTAAAAGCAAATCCAATTAAAAAAGCAAATGTAATAACTGCAACTGGAATGTTGGTGCTTACATCTGAGCTGCGTGTCTGCCCTGTTCGTTACTGTATTCCAGACTCTTGCGCGGTCTGGCCTGCGCTGATCGGTGCAAGGCGCTTTCTGAGGAAAGGGCTGCCTTTTTTAACGCGTGCATGCTTTATTAACGCGCCATTTTGTGTTACAGGGTCTATGACACCACCTCTTTGTCATCGACAGTCGCAGTTCTCAGTACCATCAGGTAAGCTGAACGCAGCGGGGCTGAGGACGGCACGCTGCGGCCGTCCCGCTCACGTGCACTTGTGGCATAAGTGTTGTGCGGGCACTCGAGTGTATAAGCTTATAAAGTGTATAACGGAGTATATACGCTTAGGTGTATAAGCGAGTGTACGCACTCGTGGCAGAAGCGATGGGTGTGCAGAGCGCGTGGGGCGTTGCGTTTCCAGCCAGCCTCGGGCTGGCGGGCAGCCGCGGAAGCGAGAGCAGCCCTAGGACCCTCCCAGCCTGAGCGTTCGCCCTGGTCCTCACGGGTGCCCACGGTGGCTTTCGTTCATGAAGCACCACTGGCCCTACCTGCTCTGAGTCACAAAGGCTGCAGGGAAGCTTTGATGTCCGCCCGCGTAGCGGGGACGGACCCTTTTGTGACTTTTGAAACGTGTTTTGTTTCAGAATGCCTTTTCTTTGTGCATTTTTTAAATATCAAAGGTCACTTCTTAATGGTAAAGTGCACGGGTTTGGGTAGAGTCTCAAGACTTGTAAAACACCTTTGTGCTCCAGAAGGGCGAATCATCGTCAGGGTTGGTTTGCTGAGGAGCTGGAACTAGATCAGTGACTGGCTTGAAAATTCTTAGTTTGCAGTTTGTCGAAAGCCTTGATGCATTTTTGTCCTATTTTTTACTGAAATACGCAACCATGAAGCATAACTGCTTTGACTAATAATGACTTGTGTCAGAGTGCCCTCTGCTTTATCTTCTTGCTCCGTTAGGTTTCTTTGTCCCACCCCACCATCGCTGAGGGTTTAGAAGGCGAGGCAGATGGGTTTAAGCAAATAGGACATCAGTGACGATACTTAAAAATACTGGATTCAGTAAGAGGAATGTTTCTCTCTTTCTTTTCCTCCCTGTTTGTTTCTCTGAAGACATAACAATAACACGGGGCGCTGGTTAACCAGGTTCAGAGCAATATGGGACCCTAAACAGGAAGACTGCTTCGTGGTGGGCAGTATGGCACGGCCAAGACAAATAGAAGTCTTCCAAGATACTGGAAAGTTGTTGCACTCTTTTTATAACATTGACTGCCTTGGCTCCGTGTGCTCCATTAACGTGATTCATCCCAGTAAGAACATCTTAGTGGGTGGCAACTCCAGTGGCCGCCTTCATGTGTTCAAAGAGTAAAAAAAGTGGCTTAGATATATATTTTTTTTTTTTCCTTTTTGCATTAAATTTGTTTAATCCGTATTAAGCTGTTCCTAAGCTAACTGTATTTTCTCAGGACAAAGGTGTATTTTAAAAGCTTTAAAATAAATCTTCTAAACTACCTTTGGCATTCTCTTCTTTAATTACAAAAATATATTAATCCTGCTACGACAGCCAGTTTGTACCAAAATAGATATTTTCCCCCAATACTGAAGTCATTTTTCAAAAAAAGAAAAAACGTTGGGTCCGTGGGATACTTGCTACGTGTTTGAGGCACTTAATGATTTTCATCAGAGAATGGGGAGCGCTTATTCTCTCCCGGCTCGTGTGGTGCTCCCGTAATCTCTTAAGGCTGGTAAGTGTTCAGCATCCATCTCTTCAGCACAATTTTTCCCTTAAGTAAGATGTCTGATGTCTCATTAGATCCTTGCTGGAGGCAGAAGGAAGGGCTCCGCGCAGGCTGCTGCCACTGGGCACGGCTTCTGGGGAGGCTCCGTGGTTAGGAGTTGTCGCGGTGATACGGCGGTGAGGCTCCTGCTTCCCTAAGCCTGTCCTTACCGTGCTCCCGCAGCCAGAGCAGCGCCTGCCGGCGCTCGCTTTTGCAGATCCGCACGCAGCCGTACCGCGCTGGATCTGCTGCCTTCGCGCTCCAGCTGGCGCCCTGACGGCAGGACGAGTGCCCTGCTGCCGCAGCGATCCCCGGCCGTCCCGCGCTGGGGCTCGCTCCCTCGCCGCTGCCGCTCCTGTCGGCAGCGGAGCGACGAAACCGGGTTTTATCGGTGGTGCGCAGGCCCTGCTCGGCACGACAGGGATCAGGAGGAACCGGGCGTTCGTGTCTCCGATTTGCCAGGTTCGTCGCTGCGCTGGGCCGCGTCCGCCTCCCCGGCAGCGGCGCTGGTGCTCGCGCAGCAACGCGGAGCAGAGGGGTTTGGGGGCCCGGCGCTGCGCCCGTGGCTGCGTGGGCTTCCTGCTACCTGGGGTGCTGGGCGGCTAAAGGCCACGTTCCTCCTGGGTTCTGAGCTGAGGTTTACTCAAGTAAAAAATTGGTACCGACACCATAAATGCTGAACAAATATCTCATACCAACGCTGGTTTTCATGATATTTAAATATTTATTTAAATTTAAAAATACTTTTCATGGCACCAATGATTTTATGCTAACTAAGATATTGAATATGTAGAAAAAGGTACATTTTGAAGGAAAAATGTAACTTACAGTATTTGGCACATGAAAGGTTAATTTCTAGATTTTTTTTTTTATGAAAACTAAGAAATTCACATTTTCAGGTATTTTACCGTCTACTGCTTAAAGATGCAGTATGCTATTACGAGATTTTTTTTTTTTCTGATATAAGAACCTATGGAAACAACATTTTAATATAAAGACAGGTAAAACTAACAGGTAAGTGAAACACAAGACGTAACGTGGAACGTACAGGAAAAACATGATGAAAAATCACCAGTTCTCGTGGTTTTGCAGTAAAACGCTGGGTGAAAACTGCAGAGGTAAACTAGGTCTGGCATTTATCGCTATTCTAGAGGAAGCCGATGTAGAAGGTTTCCAGGGTCGGTACTCGAGGCCGCGCTGGCGCTCGGGTGCGGGGCGCGCGGGGCCGGGCGC